TTTTAAAGCATCAAGTTCATATTAGAGCATTGGAAGCTATTAGAGGGTGGAAACCTTCCCAAAGGCCGAAAGAAAAAACTTCCCAGTATTTAGAATCTCCTCAGGAGGAATTCTCAACACCTTTGCCTGAAGATGCACTCATTTCGCATGTGGCTTTAGCCTAGTATCGAAACTCAGATAGATAAGTAGTTTATTACAGCGATTTTCGTATGACCTTGAAAAATGGTTTCGGTAAGTGTTCGTTATTTGTTTCATTGGCCAATGGATGAAAAGATCAAAACATGGACTCTTCGTTTTCCCGCCAAAGAAAACCCTAATATGGAGAAGGCATTGTTCGATTGGCCAATCGTGTTGCAGTATGACGTCAAAGCGAAGTATGGTTGATTTCTAGGAACTTTTCGAGCATGAAGTTTTTTCACCCGAGCGTTCGCTTAACCAACCAAAAGTCACGCGCGTTTGTGTCCGTTCGATAAACCAATCAAATCGCTCTATTTCCGTTCGTTTGTTGTTTCCGTTTTGCTCGCGCGTTTTCATTTCAAGGTCATACCAAAATCGCTCTAATCAACATAACATAACATAACATAATTTATATAGCGCTAACTTCACTAATTGACCAATTAATCAACAGCATTGCAGTAAATTGAGAATGCAAGAAAACTTCAATCGTGTGTCATCGCTACAAGAGACTAACTGTTTTTGTAAAATGTTTACGCCATCATTCTTCTTTGGACAAGGGAAGACGTTGAAAAACTTTTCGAAGAATCTGTTTACAAGTAAAATAAAGAAAAAAGGAACAAGGGGAGACGAAAAGTAGCGTTTTGAACTTAAATAATGCCTAAACTAGCAAAAATTCTCGAAAAGTCAAGTGTTACGAGGGATGTAGTGAATCGGTCTCTTTTTTCTTTTCAGTCATTGTATAAAACAAGCATTCACCACATTGTATTTGTATAATATAAAAATAGAATCCATGTTTGCCTTGCGTCGGTTCGGCATTGTACAATCATGATGTGAATGCTACACACTGTGTGCCGAAGAAAAAAAGAAGAGGCAGAGACGAAAAGTAGCCTTTGATGGCATTGAAACATTTTTTTGGAGAAACTGTACTCAAGCAAGGTAAAGAAGAAAAGAGACAGCAGTGGCGAAAAGTAGCGTTTGGGACTTACGGTGGCTCGAAAGGGCTTTTCAGGGTCAGTACCTCCCACAACATGGCACCACAGCTGTATTAGGTAAAGTTGGTAAAGTCGAAAATTTGTTAATTATGATCAGGGTTACAATGACCTTGGAGTTGTCATAGCAACGAATTGACGCCATTACCTATTTTACCGGTACTTGCAGTAGTATTTCTCGGCACTGGGAACTCTTCTTCCAATCGTTCACGAAGTTTTTTTCCTCCCCGATAACCGTCCCGATGTTAGTGAAGTTTAAGCGGAATCTTTAAGAGTATTATCGAGATATTTTGGGATGAAGTTTTTACGGTTAGAAATACAATAAAAGCTGGACAATCTTGATGTTCCGCCGTTATCTGTAGAAATCGAAGCGATTTTGAAATGCAATTTCGCCTCATAGTAGTTTCGATCTGTTTCAAAACGTGCGTGAAAGATCGTGGATCCAGATTATTGATATCTTGGAAGGCAGTAAAACGAGGGCTACAATTCGCTATTTTTTGTCGTAAATTTCGTGTTAACCAATGGGACAATCTCTTATTATTCAAGGTATTGTCTCCAAGTTTCATTTTCACGTGAACAACAGTAACTATTCAATTAAACATATGACTCTCGGAAAATGGGGGGGGGGGGGCAACAGATCAGGTGTATGGATATCAATAATCCGGGACTTTTTCATTTACCTGCTTGGTCGGTCAAACCCTCCAAGCCAAGCGTATCTTAAGGGTGACATTTTCTAAGAAAGGAAACTGACGCTTGTTAGATGATTTTGCAGCGTCTGGAAATAGAAGGCTGTTACGAAAAATTGTTGCGTGACTGTATGCTAATTTAATCTAGAATATTCTTGCATATTTAACTAGTTTTGCATTAGCCTGCGTAGCATGGCGGTTTTGGTTGGGCGCGCTAAGTAATAAAGGCGGGCGAGGGCAGAGAAACCGCGAGGAGATTGGGGCGGAAGCAACTTGAAAAACCGCCGCACGGACGGGGGGCTTTTTTGAGTCGGTCCGTACGCCAGCGTACGGATCGTTCCGATTGGTTCGGAATGTTCGCCTGTCAATCAAATATTTTGGTTATCTCCCATGGGAGAGTTTCGAGGGACTGAACAAATCATCTCCGCAAAACAAAATCAAAATATCAAAGAAGCGTTGACCGGAGCGTCGTCGATCTTGAATATTTGACGGGAAAACAGGGCAATTGTATTGAAGCCTAAACAGGAAATGGCCATTTACAGTCTTCTTCAAAGGAGAGATGTCATGAAAATTTTGTCAACAAGATTTGGCAAGAGCATGATCTTTACTGTCTTTGCTATGGCCAAAGAAGAAATATCCTCATCGAAAACCTGTGTGATCACAATTTCCCCTCTAAAAAGTACTATCGACGACCAGATATCTGAAATGTTGTCGCTGAGCTGTAAAGCAATGGACCTTATGACAGAAACAGTAAATTTCAGTGCTTCGAGAAAGTTCACCTCAATTTTCTCTATTACTCGGTGTTACAGAATAACGCACTCCAGCGCAATACATCGAACGATGTCCGCGATTGTGGTCGATGAATGGCATACAGTAGAAGAAAGACGCACAGCGTAATTCTCCATACTTTTTTGCTTGGTGTAGCTTAAGTTTAAGCTACAACTCAAATCTGAAGATCGCGCTATACGTAAAAATACATCCTGCAAACAACACTTAAAAAGCCGGGTCCAGCGTCAAAACGTTCACGGACAAAGCAGTGACAAAGAAACTACAAACCAAGGCTCCTTGGTTTGTAGTTGTCCAGATCCAGGCATTTTAGTCGGAAAAGACCAAAGAAACTAAAATATTTATTTAACCGTAATAAAAAGCTTTAGGCTTTAAGAGTGGTCAAAGAAATTAGTACTTTACAACTGCATCTGAGATCAACAAATTCTAATTAGCGAAAATAACATTAACCACAGGAAATAATTACTCAATACGGATTAAACATACCAACTTCATGACCTCTAAATAAATGTAAGACTTAGCGCAGCAAAATTAAGATCTACTCAGTCAAGTTTAGAACGCAGTGTAGTCACCTATGCGCGAGATATCCACAAAGAAAAAACCTGTGTTTGTTCAAGCAAACTCCAATTCCGGCCAAGGTCACGTTTTACACTATATCACGAGCCTTTGTGTCGTGTTTAGGCTGTCAACACTTTATTTCTGATTGGCTGGGAAAACTGAAACCAAACAAGTAGTCAACAGGATGTCAAAATGAGTTGAAGGGGGCGGCAGTTGAAAAGGCCACGAATCCGGGCAGGCGGTTTTTATTTTTCTCGCGGCTTCGCCGCTCGTTCTCGCGCGCTTCGCGCGAATTTCGCGGCTACGCCGCTCCTGCGCCCGGCTCGACAAAACCGCCATGCTACGCAGGCTAGTTTTGCATCATAGTGACTAAGCAGTTTCTCAAGCCGTTTACGTATGATGCTGTAAATAGTTTTATGTCGTTATGTTACTTTATTTATTTGAGCCGGAAAGTTCTAGAGTCTCACGCTCATAAGTATATAAGCTAATCGGTTTAGCTTTTAGCGAAGGTTGTTTTTGAGAAGAGAGTACGTGATTACTGTAGGGTGGCAAAGGTCACGTGTAAAGTTTGGCAGAGGCCGTGTTTACTGAAGTGTGACAGAGGTCGCGTGAAAATTTGGCAGAGGCCGTGTTTAATCAAGTGTGACGGAGGTCGAACTGTAATTTACAAGCCTAGCGTGTGCTTGCTGTGAAGCTTCGTGTGGAATTTACTACGGTCGTTTGGAATAAATAACCTTGTTGCTGTTCCGACACCCCTGCGTTCTGTTTAGACTACGAACTATCCGCCACTCACAACACGAACTTGTAACAAGGGCCTTTTCATACAAAGTGGTTCGTACTGAGATCAGTCAGCTGATCAGTAGTTCGAGATTTAGATAAAATCTATTCGACGATTTACGCATACAATTAACAGAAATAAAAAGAATCAGGATAAAGACATGTTTGAAGGTCTGGCTGTGTAAAAGAATTATTCTACTGCAGCCTCGTACCCAGGCCTGTTCGCGCTATCCGAGTGACCAGAGGAGGCTTTGTACCGAGCGCGATAGCGAATTTTTTCCCGACAAGCTTGACAGGTGACGTCACATCCGAAATCTCCGGGGACGACTTGGAACGAGGCTGATTCTACTGTAGCCTTTACCGGGTCTCCTTAGAAACTGCCGGAAGGGAACAGGCCTACATGCAATAATTCTAGTAATATGCATGGTATATTATATATTTTAAATCTTTTTTGTCAAGAAAGAGTAGCATTTGAAAACAAACCGAGTGCACTGTCGTTTTTCACAGATCCCAAGATGGATGTTATGAGAACAACGATTACTGTTCTCTTTATCATGTTCCACACGCTGATAAAAGAACAGCAGGCACTAAACCTTCAAGGTAATGACTAGCATACCGTATTTATTCGAATAAGCGCCCAACCTCGAATTAGCGCCCACTTCGAATAAGCGCCCATCCTAAAGGCAAAAAAAGTTAATACGCGCCCAGCCTCGAATAAGCGCCCACCCCCTCCCCCTCCCAATCAAACTCAAATAAGCACTCACCCCCATCCCCACCCCCCTTGAGTAAAGAATATATTCTAATAAGAGACTTCCCGAGGACGGAGTTTTCTTCAGAGTATTTTACAGAAACCTTGCTTTGTTACTTCTTCGCGTTTCGTTATTAGCATTTATTGTTTTGTTGCAAAATAAACATACTTCACTTGCTGAAAATGGTGAAAATTTAATAAGCGCCCACCTCGAATAAGCGCCCTCTCTCAAGGTCCAAAAATTTAATAAGCGCCCATGGCGGTTAATCGAATAAATACGGTAATTGTAAAATAAGTGAGCAATTTCAAATTATAGTTGTACGCACTCCGATATTAATGAAGCCGCCTACATTGCTTTATTACGTGTTTGAAGTCATTTTGTATGAGAAAAGTGTACTTTGGTGCCCTTGAAAGCCTCTCCCAGGTTTTTCAAGCTCATTAAATCGCGCTGCAAACAAAAAGGGGATGTTTTCCAAGTTTTTCTTGAAAATGAAGGTTAAAAATAATCACTGAAACGCTTTCAGCGAAAGCCTTGGATAAGATTTTTCTTTATTACCGTAAATGATCCGCACAGTTGAATAAACAACCTAAGCGGTTGAAAAAGAACCGAATCACACTGACCCTGGCCTTTGCCATGACCGGACGCAACGCTCTGGAGACCAGGCTATTGTCAGTTCGTAAAATACCCGATGGTTGAAATGACATGAATGGAAATATATGAAAAATAATAGTCATTTCACATATTTCGATACATAAAAGAAGCTGATAAACAGGAAAGGTGTTCAACGCCGGCATAAGTTATCTAGTATATCATTTTTTCCTTTTGAATAACTCATTTGTAATTCTTATTTCCGAAAATGAACAGTTAAGCACTGTGTAAACGGACGCAACATGGTTAGCCAACAACTCCCAATATTGTTGAGAGTTGTTGCGTCTGTTTGCACGTAGCTAAAAGTTTGACAGGTTTCAAATTTTACAAAACAACTCCCAACAACATGCAAAAGGCTGTGCAAACGGACGCAACATGTAACATCCAACAATGACATGTTGGGAGTTATTAGCCAACAATGTTGCGTCCGTTTGCAGGTAGCTTAATGACTGCATTGTTGTTACACTGTTGTGTTGAAATAAGCCGGTTTTACGGAGATCTTTGTTAGCGATCAAGGATTTTGTCTTGGATTGTCTTCTGTGTTATTTTAAGGACAATTGTCTATTAAATGAGTTTAACATTCTCATTAAACTGGAGAAAGTACAAATTCCTATCCTTCTTTTTTACTACGTTTTTGCAGATTACTCCAACTATATAAACGAAAAAAAGAAAGAGATAAATGAGAAGCTGGAAGGAGTCAGGAAATTAAACGAAGAAGTTGTTGAATACATTGAAGCCAGTTGCCAAGGTAGGGAGAAGGACATTCTCAGAGTACCAGGAGTAGTGGGGTAGGCACCGGTTACTCCGTTTTTTTGCGGGGGAATCTCAGTAACTTCCTGGGGAATATATTAACGCCGATGACGTCATAACCTTTTGTCTTTATCTCGTGAAAAAAAATGCGCAGGAATCTCATTAAGATAAGGTCGTGCGCTATTTTTAGTTGGTTTAACCGGTTCTACAGGTTTTAAGTTCCTTTTCGGTCGGTAAATGCCTTGGTTTTCGATTGGTTGATTAGAAAATATGAAACGTTTTCATTGGTTAATTCATGGTGTCTGAGGAGTAAACTCAAACTTGCCGGTGACTTCAAATCACTGAGTCGTGACGTAATTATGCAACTTCTATTTCCTGCTGCTGTGATTGTCCTAGTTCCGGTTCAATGATTCTTGGCGCGTTTACTTGATGATGATTCGCGTGGACAAGAAATCGAGTAAATCTTACGCAAATCCAGCAAATTTTGCCATCTTCTAGTTCTGCAGCCAGCTAGAGCTAGCCGGGTCAACCTGTCGAGTCCAAAAAATATAGTGAGAGACTGTTTACTCGATGTTTACATTGCTGAGAACGCCGAATGAATAGCAGAAGAATTTTCCTTGGTTTTAGGCCAACAATTTAACCACAACATCGGAAATTACCAAATAATTCTTACCCAAACGCGAACTTTCGAGTATTAGAATCTCGCGTTTTATCTTGAACTTCAAAAGTGGTGTTCTGGCGTCGGCGACCATTCTCGATCCCAGTGCTTGCGGGTTTGGGAATGTGCGCGTAAGCTCTGGGAAACTCTGTGCCGGCGTAGCCAAAATCTGGCTATCTGGGCCTCACAGCGCATGCTCTTTCATCCAACCAAAACTTTTTGCTGCTTTTATATCAACTTCATCGCGAAAGTCTTTTGCTGCTTCGGTATTAGAACTGACTAAATTCAGTTAACGGGGCACTTGAAGAATTTTCAGGTATCCGAGGCTCTTGGGGTAGCTGCTGAGAAAATGCCGTTAAACGTTCCCAATCACAGATTTGAGACTTGAAGTTTGCATGTGCATGACAGTTGATTGAGTATTTGTGTGGACTACTTCACGAGGCGGTAAATGAAACCCGAATGGCTTGTTAAGATAAAAGTATCGAAATTCCAATAAAACTTTCCAAAATATGAATTTAGCGTCTATTTATGTATGTTTGTTCATGAATATTAACACTTGAGCGAAGCTGCTTTGAAATGCGATATCGTGGGAGAAGAAGACAGCTATAAATATGTAGGCGCATTGTACACGCATCACTTTAGCGGAACGATTTACTTTTTCTGTTTTTCTTTTTTTTTTCTTCTTGCAAGTCTGTTTGTGAGCAATTTACGACATGAAGCTCAAGTTTCATTCATACTCGACTACTTCGTGTGAATAAGATAACGTGGAAGTCAAAGAAAAATCAGTGATGTGTCATGCTTCTTAAATTGTAGCTGGCAAAGATGACGGTGTATTTTTATTATTTTTTTTTTACATTCAAATCTTTTTCTGGATCAACTCTCAATATTTTGCTAAGCTATTTTATTTGAAAATTGGAAAATCCAGTAATTCTGCCTAATCAGTCAAACAAATGTTGTCTTGGAATCGCTGAAATCAAGAATCGGCCGGAGTAGCCCATCGGCCGGTCTTGTTTACTTCAACGTTCACACGCCAGACACCTCCCCACTAACGGCTGCTAAAAACCGAACTACATTCCTTTCCCTTTGTATTTGTGGTCTAACGAACAAAACAATCATGTACAAGAAATTTGACAATACGTGAGCCGCACGGCACTAGGCAGCGAGCACGCTTCTCAGTTTTCGACAAATAAATCAATCGTCGCTGAATTTAGACGGGCTCTGTGTTTTGAAGGAACGAAAAGGTTAATTTGCAAAAAAGTTTATTTTAAGCGGCACATCCATGTTGTGAATCGCAAGTTGCTCGACTTTCTTGTTGTTGCTGCTTATCTCCTAAATTTTGAATAGGACTCGACTACGACAACACTGTAGTTAATTGCTTGTTTTCACGCGACGATTTTGATTATTCTGTCATTCACACATGGGGCAACGATAAAAGCAAAACTGTGATTGGAGGACTCACAGTACCGTAAAGGTGGCGCGAACACTTTCCAGAAAATGGAAGCTGAATTGTAATTGGCTAATTACGGGAAAGGAATGTAGTTCGGTTTTCAGCAGCCGTTAGTGGGGAGGAGCGTTGCGTGACGACACTAAAAACGGCTGTGTAGCAGACTATAAGCTCTCTAATAGAGAAATAAAACACACGTAAACATAGTTAATAAGGTGGAATGGTTTCGAGGCCTGATCGTTTTCACTAATAAAAACATCGCGTTATTTTATTCAGTCACGATTTGTGAACAAAAAACAAACAATTGTGCATCGTCGGGGAAGTCAGTCTTAACATAAACTACGGCATTGTTGTTTTTATCTTTAAAGTTTGCCGGCTTTCAAAACCAGCAGTCTCCTCTACTAACTATGACGTAAAGAAAAAAAAAGAGAAAAAGGGAAAAAAGGGCTGCTACAAGGACTGTCACGCAACGCACGCAGAACGGAGGCACGTTTTCTGGGAGCGGAACATACTAATTATAATTACGGTGGCTCGAGTGGATTTTTCAGGGCGAATACCTCTCCAGTTTGGGCAACTAGGTATTCATCAACAAAGATATAGGAAAACGAAAACAACAGCTTTTACAGGCAATTAAAGATTAAAAATTGTTTTGAGCTGTGTTATGCTGACATAGGAGTTGTCATAGCAATGAAATGAATCTATTATCTATACTACTTAAAGCGATATTTCTCGGCACTGGCGGTTTTTTCCAGAATCGTATCAAATTTTCTGGACAAAAACAGCGTGTGTTTCAAATATACCGTAAAATTCCGAAAATAAGCCCCTCCATGTATAAGCCCCTCCAAATATAAGCCCCCAAACCGGTAACGCAAAAACCCTCCGTTAAATCGCCCCTCAAATATAAGGCCCCCGGGGGCTTGTACTTGGAAAATTGCCCTCAAATACAAAGTAAAACAAAGCAAAAACGGTAAATTTATTCCAAATATAAGGCTAGCCCAATCGATTTTGAAACGAAAATTTCCCTCCGTAGATAAGCCCCTCCGAATATAAGCCCCTCCAAAAATAAGCCCCTCAAAAAGGGCCTTTGAAAAATATAAGCCCCGGGGCTTATTTTCGGAATTTTACGGTATTTTATTAGTTACCGCAGTTCACGTAAAAATGGAACTTGGAGACGATACGTCTGAATTATGAGTCAGAGGTTCTCACTTAAAAACAAACTGACAAACAATAAGCGTAGTGGAGCCCTTCTTTAGTTGCCTTACAAGTTTTAAATGATCTTAAAACTTTAAGGTCATATAAAACAGCAGTTAATCTCGAGCTGATATTCAATTTTTAAAGAAATCTATTCAACGGTTTCCAATTTGCTTATTTGTTAAAGTAGACCAAAACATTTTCAAAAAACGCTAAGAAGAACACTTCAATCACATGCAAATTAAGTCCCTCTTTCTATCAATCGACTACATCTATCCCCATGATCTTCTCACACACGTTTTTAAAAGAATGAAATTATACTGAAAGCGTTTGGTTTTCTATAGATAACGGCCGAACATCAATATTGTCCAGTTTTAAATGGATTTCTAACCATAAAAACTTCACCCAAGATATCTCGAGAACGCTCTCAAAGATCTTGCACAAACTTCACAAAAATTAAGGCAGCTATTGGACGAACAAGCTCCCGTGAACGGTTTTGAAAAAAAAAACCAAGCGCTGGGAAATACAGCTGCAAATGAAATAATTAATGACGTCGTTTTGTTCCTATGACAGCAAATTTTCAACTTTATAAATGTTTGTGTCTGCCCTTGAGGTGTGCATTAGTTCGCATTAAAGCATGAAAATGCGCACGTCGAACAATTTGTAACCTGGACATTCATTGTTTTGTTTAACATAGCCATGACATGCAACTTCGATGAATCAATGTGTGACTTCGAGCAAGACAAAAGTGGCAAGTTTATCTGGACTCGACGCAAGGGACGTGGACCGTCTGCCTATACAGGATTTTTTGATCACACAACTGGAAGCACAACAGGTGAACCGTATACTTAATTACTAATACCACTGTCAAAATCCGCCAATTGCAATACAATAAGTTAAGGCTCTATTCACACTGGAGAAAAAGCCGTTTATTTAAAAAATTTTTCTATTCTCACCAACGCTTAACAAATGAAGATGGTTTGTCGCGATTCAAAAAAAGAAATTGGACAAAACCGACTCAATAATCAAAAATTTGTTTTTCTTGCTAATTACGTTGTTGTTTCATTAGTTTTTACTTAAAAAGAAGCGACTTTTTAAAACATTTAGCTATAAAAAGTTGCGAAAAAACCTCTTTGAAAAATATTTAAGAAAATTTTAGAAGTTAAAAAATATAAGACGTTTCAACGTTCTCGGACGTCATTATCAAGTATTCAAAAACTCATCTTTTAAATGAGCTCCTGAAGTGTCTACTATCGAGGCTACCTTTGTGAGGGAGCTTCAAGCCATCGAGTGTTAGCTTCGATTAAATAGTTTATTTATCAACGTAACTAAGAAAGAGGCAATGCTTTTTGGGACATCGCAGACGCTTGCTAAGGTAGATCAGTTTTCAGTCAGTGTCAATGGGTCGGCTATAAAGCGTGTTAGTTAGTTTAAGTACCTGGGTGTCATCTTTGATGAACACCTCAGTTGGAACGAACATGTTAAAGCAATTGTATCTAAAGCTGGCAGGCAGGTCGGTCTGTTAGGACGTGTTCGCCGTTATATCACAACACATAGTGCTAATGCCATTTTTTGATCTATGATTAGACCTACTTCTTCTTCTTCTGTTCTGTGCTGGGGTCTGGGGTGCTGTGGGGAAGTAAATAGTGGAACTCTAGAAACTCTGTAGAAGCGCGTTGAAAGAATTGTAATTAAAACATCTAGTAGTGACACTGCGATAAAAGCTTTGAAGTGGCCAAGTACTAGGTCCAGGCGCGATGAACACATCCTAAAACGTGTAAGGAAATGTGTACATGGCCGGTTCCCACAATATTTTAAGAAGTACTTTGTTTTTAACAAAGACATTTGTGCTCGTTCAACCCGCCAGAGCAATCTCTTGCATCTGGCTGCTATAAGAACAGAAGTGGCCAAGAGATCCTTTACTACCATGGAAGTATGGTTTTTAATAGTTATTGTAAATGTCCTTAATCTTAAGAGATCTTGTTATTAGTTCATTTGTTATATTACCTTGTATATATTTTATTTTTATTACTATTATTATTATTATTATTATTATTATTAGAACCCCGAGAAGGAGGAACTTAGATGTTAAGGACAGGGATCTAGAAATAGAGAAGGATCAAGCAGGACTTCCCTAGACTCAACAGCTATAGATGCTTTATTAATTGTCTATATTTCATTTTTTTTTTTTTTTTTTTTTTTAAACATTTGAAGAAAATCTTTATATTTTGACAGCTTACGTTTTTTTTTATTTACATAAAATTTTTTTTATCGAAATAACTTTTGTTNTTTTCATTGTAAAAAACAAAAAATATTATTATTATTATTATTATTATTATTATTATTATTATTATTATTATTATTATAGTCTAGTTAGTGAAGTCAGGGTTCCTATTGATAGCAGGTATGCTTTGTAAGCTCCCTGAATGGACTACCCTGGGCAATTTAACTTTTTGATTTTAAATAAAGGCGTCTATCTATCTATCTAAATAATTCATAAGCTCATCGACCTATCATATGGTCGATAATACATCACGTACAGAGACTTAATATCGATAAAACCTCCCCATATTAGTATATAGTAGGTGTTTTATCAGATATATCTAATGTCACTGCACGTGACTGAGGAATATTAACTATCAGCACAGCAACTGACACAACAAGGTGTGAATGAATATTTAATGCTCTTTCAAAATAACACACGCAGTAAATTTATTATTGCACAAAATTAATATTTCACCAATTTAATCAGCCAAAAGTTTAGTGACTCAGCGGTAATATTGGCTATAGCAGGCAGCGTCCAAGCTCTGCATTCAAGACCTGCCAGTTGTAAATATGCAAGGCTCGTGTGCTGGATTTTTGTTTACCTTCCATTCGGCCATTCCAGAAAATTTTTTTCAAAGACTACTTTTTCACTGCACTTGTTGACTTTGGGTACCATTTTCGACTCACTTCCTCTCTTCCTCAGCGCATTTTTAGGTTTCCAAAAAGCTCTGGAACAGACGCCATGTCTTCCTCTGTTAGTGTCGTTCGTAGATTGGAAAATTTCTAAACACGTGTGAGATTTGATTTTCTTGAATAATAATTTCATACGCAATATTTTTTTTTTCTTATGCTAATTTCCAACGTTCATTGTTATCAACTCCATTGAACCGTTTTTATATCATGAGCCGAAGGCGAGTGATGTTAAACCCGATAAAACACTGCTGCTCGTTTATTAAACATTACAAAACATACAGTATGAATGTTTTATAAATACAAGAAAAACAATAGTTCATTAAAAAGAAAAATAACATGAAAATATGTTACAAAAATCTTATTCATCAAAGAACTAAGGCCTAGCCTTAATACTCAGAGTGACTCCATCGGTGCTAAACTCTTTGTCTAACTTGTAACATATTTTATGTAACTTTTCTTTTTAAAGAACTATAATTGTATGTATATCATACTGTTGATAATGACGTTCGAGAACGTCGAAACGTCGTATATTATTTAACTGTTTCAAAAATTTCTAAATGTTTTTAAGAAAAGCTTTTTTTGGTTTTATTTAATATCATCGCGGATCTAAAGTACAGGTCACATTCTACAGGTCAAGGAGTACAGCTTACTGGTCCATCGATAAATTACCAAACCACACACATTCCCCTCGATCTAATAGAGCATTTTGTCACTAAGAGATTAGGGCTAGGAGACACTTTTAATGCTATTAATTTATCTGTATCATGGCGACCTGTACTCTGACCTGTGGAAAAGTGACAGCCGTAAAATGTCTAAAATTAGCCCAACTCAAATATTGTTTCAGTTTTCTCCGTGCTTTCATTCTTTATCTCTCTACAGGTTCTTACATGTACATAGACACGTCTAGTCTAGGGCAGTGCGACGAAAACGTAAAATTGTCTAGTTCCCCTCTGAAATTCCTCAGGAACATGTGTCTGAAATTCTATTACCGCCTGCATGGTGCAAATGCTGGAAGTCTAAACGTCACCGTAGCTGGAAAATTACTGTTTTCTTCAACTGACCTGTACGTGGAAAACATGTGGCTTGAAGCTGGTATAAATACATCATCTATTACGGGATCGTTGATGGGAACGCATAGGGTAAACGTTTTGTCAAAATATCGATTTCTCTCTCTTCAGTTGATAAGTTTTAGTTGATTTCACTTGATTTTTCCGTACTTTATAACACCAGTTGCTCTCAAAATTATACAGCATAGACTCTATGGCATGATTACAACTTTAATCTTATCTCTTTGACAGGTAACATTTGAAGCCTCCCCTGGAAAAGACTGCTTGGGTGGCATAGCAATTGACGACTTCTCCTTTACAGCTGGGTCTTGTCCTTTAAGTAAGTAAATTGACTAAAAGGGGCTTTGTTGAAAGACTAACATAGCATTTCCAAAGATGAAAACATTTTTGAAATGTTTCAGTTTAGTTTCTTGTAGTGAGGAGTCCTTGATAATTGCACTGAAACTATTGCGGTATCTTACGTCCTCGATGCAATACCATCAATTAATTTGCTTGTTTTTAACACGATCTTTAAAATCAAAATTCACTTAGAAAAAGCATTCCATCAATCAAGTGCTGTGTGAAAGGGAGTCTGAAATGGCGCATCCGCACGTACAATTTTCGAAAATATTTGCCTTCCTTTTTTCTCCATAGATTAAATCCCGAGTTCACAAAACAGTGATAGAGCGGCCTCGTTTTCCTGTGTAGACTCTGTAGTGGTAACATAGCCTGGGTAGCAGGGGTTAAGGTGGGGGGGAGGATAAGAAAGAGAAGGGAAACGCCTGCTACAAAAGCCGCGTCATTTCGCCCCTTATTTCAATTATCCCAGCTGTCACTTCAACGACCAATCACAATTACGCGCGCGCTTTTCTGCGTGACTGACTTCACGCGGGAATGTATCGCCGAAGGCGGTTTCGTAGCTGTAGAGAAAATGAGAAATGGGAAAATCTTCGCAACAGAACGTCGGCGCCGCCACTCCCACAAAAATTTGTAACAGGGGACGGAAACCCAATGTAAACGTTCAAAAAAACAAACAGCAGTTGTAGATTTTGTGGAGTTAACTTTACTTCTGGGGGAGGACGAGCCTCATTTGAAAATTTATTTTCGCCGTCGGGAAGAGTTGAAAGTGTTGGGCTGATTTTCGCTCATTGTTGCGGCTCTATTGGTTTGCGATTAACCAGAAACGAAAAGTTGTCAGAACGGGTCTGCAGACCTTGTGGTCGCAAAATTAGAAACGCAGCTGAACCGCACAGTTTCATCGAGAAAGCTGTAAGCAACACTAATGTCGAGGAAGATTTACATTGAGAGGCTGTAGAAGATCGAAGCAAAAGACAGCTTCCCACCACTATCACGCCAGAAGGAAGCGATGTAAAAAAGAGACTTGAGAGGGTTCAGCCGATTTCACTTGCGTGAAAGGATCCACGATCCAGATAGTGTTTTGCGAATTGCTTCAAATGATTAACTTTTTGGATTTTGATTAAAAATTTTCAAGAAACGGCTACTCTACCTATTGTTTTGAGTTTGTTCATTCATAAAATTAGCTCAAAACACGATTGTGACTACAACATCCAAGCTGAATTTAAGCTTAATGCTTCTCACATTCATTACACGCATCACTTTTTGCGAAGATGTCAGGTTCAGGTTTTGGACGCTTTTCGATACGCAGCTAATGAATTTTATTACAAAATATCTTTTACTGTTTATTCTAGACTTTTAACATAAGAATTTTAGAGGCCTATTTGCAGTATATGTTTACTGTCAGAGGGTCAACGAGGCATCGTTTTTTGAAGTGACAACTTCAAGAAGTCGCGAGGACATCAATGAGTTTCATAATATTACGTTTGGCCGAGGTGGTAAGCCAATAATATCCTGCTCAGTATAATTTCGGTAAGATTCCTAGTTTCAACCTTTGAAAAGCTTTCTCGGCTTTCGGGAGTTTTTCTCCCGTTTGTCGGCCATTTTTTTAAGCGGGCGCGGGAACGTGAAGTAAAATTACGTCACGTTGTTTACTAAGTTTGATTGGTCAGTTATCTCTTCTTCTCGTTCCAAATATGGTACTTTTCGAAAATGAATAATCACGAGCATCGGACAAAGCAAACATATGAGAGTTACACGTTGGTTGTTTCTGTAGGTACCGGAGCACAGTATACGTCATCACGTTCAAATAAATTACTTCGGTTGGGGCTCGTGTGCACCTGTGGACTCTGTGTACACTGTGGACTTGTGGTCCTGTGGACCGTGGGACCTGTGGACTCTGTGGGCTCGGTGGCCTCTGTGGCCCGGTGGCCTCTGTGGCCCTGTGCACCTGTGGACCTGTGGACTCCGTGGACCTGTGGCCTCTGTGGACCTGTGGACCTGTGGACCTGTGGACTTTGTGGACCTGTGGACTCCGTGGACCAGTGGACTCTGTGTAATCTGTGGGACTGTGGACTCCGTGGACCTGTGGACCTGTGGACTCTGTGGACTCTGTGGACTCTGTGGACTCCGTGGACCTGTGGACTCTGTGGACTCTGTGGACCTTTGGACTTGAGGCAACGGACTGACCCACGGACTTAATTGTTGCTTAGTTTCTTATTTTGTTTGGTTAATTGCCTTTTGAAACTATTTCTGTAATTCCTCCATTTGGAAATAATTTGAGCAAATTATGTATTGAGACCGAAGTAATTTATTCGAGCGTGATGACGTATACTGTGCTCCGGTACCTGCAGAAAGAACCTACACGTTTCAACCCCTTATGAGTTTCTGATATTACACACTTAATGCCAGTTGGTTTTGTTTGCCCAGGGGAAAACAAAACTAACTGGTTTCCTGAGGGACCTGACATTGAGTGTTTTGTTCTATTTCTAAACTTTCACTTCAACAGCAACAAAAGAATAACCGGAGCGAACAAAACAATCGACTCGGTACTTATAGAAACACAAATTTAATTTTCAAAACCACTGTTTATGTCGTTGTGTTCATTCACGAAAAAGAAAACTGGCAGTGTTTTTCCCGCCTTCTGTCACACCACTTTCACCATGGTTTGATCACGTGCTTTAATGTAGTCCGACCGGGGTACATTGCTTAATATATCACGATCGGGACACGTTTCATTTTAGTCAAGGCACGTGACCAAGAATCAACCAATGGCAGTCCCTGTTTAGTTGAGTAAAAGTCTAGGAATATAACAAATGATTTGATTTGATAAGTGGCAACAGCAACGAAAATAAGACAGAAAAATGTGTTATCTAGAATTAGCCGTTGAAGCTTTTTCCAGCAAAACGACTGAACCATTGTCCATGAATTTCCTAGAAGTACTGTAGCAGTTGCTCGCATGGTGTACAATACAATAGCTTTCATGAGTCTCCTCTTTGGTGGAAGAAAACAGTAACACACCATTGTTTATTTGCCATTGCTTTACGGCTAGGGTAGCAAACCAGTTTTGTTTTAGGGTCCTTATAGCTGCTACAAAGTCTATGAACTGGGGAAACATCTTAAACAAGGTCTTGAGGTTCGTTGTCAGCGTCTACCAGAGGAGACAGTTTTTTCTAAGCTGGTCAGATAAATGGGCTGTGAACGAGCGCTGTGGCTGCCAACCTGGTCGGATCCATGCACAGGTAACCCAGGCTCTGTCATAGTACCACAGTACGGTTCCAGTAAAATTACAGTGTTTGTATGGGGTAAAAATACCATCCTAAAATTTCTAGGAAATACTAAATAAAGATCAATGAAACTTACTCTGCAGTTATTTGTTGTAGTCCTTATTGCTACAACGAAGTTTAGTGATAATTTGCAGTAATTTGTTCAAATTCACTCTATATACAATAATAATATACAAGGTAGGAAACACGAGATGCCATTTTCCCGACATGCTCTCATTCAACACAACTTTTTTCACGAAATTCGAGCTCCAACGGAAAATAAACATGCCAGGATCGTAGAAATAGGATAGCAGCAGATATAGAAACCCATGAAGCTTTCCCAGATAGAGAAACGAATCCCACAGACTTTGACAAACTCGAAGGATATAATCCAAACAGACCGAGAATATGCTCGCCGAAGCAGCCGGGCCAGATCAACGCGCGGCCAAGAAAATGAGGCCTGGGCACTGTACAAAAAAATTCCATCTCGGGAGTCCTGGGGTGACCTTTCTGGGGACCGATACATCATTTGCCCAAAGCCACCCTCCCCTGCTGGAAAAATACTTGATAGAAGGCAATTGTTCTTCCTAGCCAATCACAATTCGCCAGAGCAAACCCCGCACACGCGCCTAAATTTAAATAGCCAAAAAGAATAAATAAAACCAGGATAGTCTGCCGAGTTACAAGGCGCCCCATTTCTTTTACTAAGGAATGCAAATACCAGTAATGAAACTAAAGAAATAACAACGCCAAATACTTACAAGGCGGAGACTTTCAGCTGGGAAATCCGAACAGATGAAAAATTTTTAGGGGATAAAATATGCCTATATCAACCGTTTAAATACTAAAATATATTTAATAACGCTATGTTTAAGTGGTTTTGAACTATATTTTCGTTGGGTGCCCCTGTGTTGCTGTGAACTCTCGAGCGAAACTATCGTAAATAAACGGTGAAGCTTACAAAATAATGTCAAAATTATACAGAAAATTGCGACAGAATATGAATTGAGATAACTGAGACGAATGTGAAAGGCATGTGCGCCAGTAAACAAAGAACTAGCGCGATTAACATGTTTAGCGATTAATGCGGCCGTAACACGCCGATTTCTTGTCAATACAACTGAACGTTCTATCAGTTAAATATGTGAACCATCGTGACACCTCTCTTTGAATTTGGTCTTGTTGTACAAATGCCGCAGTAAGAGCCAAAATTCACTTATATCTTTTGCTCGTTTTAAGTTTTGTAAATCCTCCTGAATCCTCCTTCGTTGTTATTTCTTTTGCACTTATAACCTTGCCCCATTGATGTTTGATAGACTTTCTGAGGACCGACGCCAGGTGCTGAATATAGTTCGAGAGGGACATAACATCTTTATAACAGGCCAGGGTGGTACGGCTAGGAAGAACAATTGCCTTCTATCAAGTATTTTTTTCAGCAGGGGAGGGTGGCTTTAGGCAAATGATGTATCGGTCCCCAGAAAGGTCACTCCAGGACTCCCGGGATGGAATTTTTTTATACAGTGCCCAGGCCTCATTTTCTTGGCCGCGTGTTGATCTGGCCCGGCTGCTTCGGCGAGCATATTCTCGGTCTGTTTGGATTATATCCTTCGAGTTTGTCAAAGTCTGTGGGATTCGTTTCTCTATCTGGGAAAGCTTCATGGGTTTCTATATCTGCTGCTATCCTATTTCTACGATCCTGGCATGTTTATTTTCCGTTGGAGCTCGAATTTCGTGAAAAAAGTTGTGTTGAATGAGAGCATGTCGGCGAAAATGGCATCTCGTGTTTCCTACCTTGTATATTATTATTGTATATAGAGTGAATTTGAACAAATTACTGCAAATTATCACGAAACTTCGTTGTAGCAATAAGGACAACAACAATTAACTGCAGAGTAAGTTTCATTGATCTAATTAGTATTTCCTAGAAATTTTAGGATGGTATTTTTACCCCATACAAACACTGTAATTTTACTGGAACCGTACTGTGGTACTATGACAGAGCCTGGGTTACCTGTGATCTATGTAGGCATCATATCTGCCTAATTGAACGTAGCATGCGTTTGTTGACCATAATATAATTTATGTAATGTTAATGACCTGTTTGAAGACAATGGACCTCTTTCATCTACGTCCTTGTCAAAATATCCCCCGGTTATGATGTTTAAAACTTGACAAACTAAATACTCAATGTGCAAATGTGTTTTTACTTACGGTTATTTAAAAACACTGTAATTTACACAGAAAGGTCCGTTCTACAGGTTTGCCATGTGACAGTAACGCTCCCATCGGAATTTCCGACCCATCAATAATTTCTGATGGTCAGATGAACGCCTCTTCCCAACATGATTCACCTCGTTACAAACCCTACTACGGTAGACTCCACGACAAAAGAGGCGATGGTTGGTGCCCTAGTCCAACTGCCGAGGGTAACGACTGGCTAAAGATTGATCTTCGAGACACGTTTGTAGTATGTGCTGTCGCCACACAGGGGAATAAAGATGGCAAAGCATGGACAGCCTTTAAGCTGTCCTATTCGTCTGATGGAAAGAATTGGAAATTTTACAAGTATGGCGATTGTACTGAAAAGGTAAGTTATTGTTTGCGCTTGCACACTCATTCCCTGCGAAGCCCCTCACTTCTTGCGTCACGCGTGGCACGCATGAGTGTATTTATTTTCTTGGTAGTCGCAGTTACCTATTATAACAAATCGTAAACAGCCAACATGAGTTGCACTGATTAGAATCGGTTAATTCATCGTCGGTGAAATAAAGTTTACTGTTGGCGAATCGCAACCTTTTTCTCTTGCAAATAACAGCGAACTACAAACATAACAACGCTGGATTCAATAAGCTGCTTGAAATCCTCGCCCCTGAAACTCCGCTGGAACGAGAACGGTCACTTAAAATTCAGCGAGCAAGGGGAATGCGAGATACGTATTTCTAGTTAATATAGAAAAAAATCTTTCATAATACGTTACGGTTCAGTGATTTTAGGTAGCATGCAAGTTGACGCTGATTACTTCTACAAAATAAGTCAGCCAATGAACACGTTTGAAATTTCAGTCAGCCAATCAAAACTTACATCTTCGACCTAAAAAATAACTAAAAACGTGTCAGACCGGTTGAACTAGGCACGACGTAGAGATAGAACATGACTAACCGTTACTCGCACTGGTACCGGCGACCCTCCGCGTAAGGTCAGAGGCTACCCACATAACACATCACGGCAGCAACATCAACAGGGAATGGGCTGCCAAAGAGCATGCAACACAACAGCCGATCCATCATCGGTGTCACCGCGGACCGCGGAGGGAACAGACTCAGGCATAAATAGTGAGGATCAAAGTCCACAGACCATTAATGATAAATTAACCAACATTCATCGTGCTTCAGTAACCCCGAAATCATCACCTGATGAAGCGGTCGAAACGTCGCGATCAACAACAAAGCGACTATCACGATACGAACGATAATTACATGTGTGTATAGGATATTAGCTGTCTCAGTGCGGATACAAAGTTGTCAGACATAAATCTTGTCCCAGCCTGATCTTGTCCGTTCTTTTTAAGTCTGGACGCCGATTGTTTAAAGTTGAAATTTGACGGTCTACGGTGACGTACTCTCCCCAGGACTCCGCATCCACGTCCTCCGTAGTAGAGGTTGCCGTAGCGGTTTGCTTAAAGTCCCTAATATTTGTATGCTAGTGCAGAAAAGCTCCAAGACGCCAAGCAAATACAAGACTAAGAACACTTTACCTGTAATGCTTACGGTTTAGAATCTTACACCTGATTGACGTTTTCCTCGAAGACATGACATTCAAGAATTACAGTCAACTCTTTCTACACGACGGTCATTGTAGGGACCGGCACTAAGTTTGCGTCTTAGGCCGATCTAGGCAGGTGACCGTCATATGGTAGGAGCCCATAACCCGGAGCGAGCAACTCCCATACTAGGCCTATGTCACGGCGTTTTTACGGACCAGTTTATTTTTAGACACATTTTAGGATACTTTTTCCCGCGAAAATAGAATTTCCACCAAGTCTATGAGCGCATTCGAAGTGTAAGATATCAAAAAGGCAAACTAAATGCTATTAAAAAGGAAAAAATATCATTTTTAGGTCTGTAGGTTTGTGGAATTCAAACGATACTCAAATTTCGCGCCAAAGCGTTCGAAAAATAAAGAACCTCCCAAACTGAAATTATTTTTAGAACGCTTTGCGCGAATTTTGAATATCTTTTAAATTCCACAAACCTTCAGACCTTTGATATCTTATACTTCGAATGCGCTCATAGACATGGTGGAAATTCTATTTTCGCGGAAAAAGTGTCCTAAAATGCGTCTAAAAATAAACTGGTCCGTCAAAACGCCGTGACACGAACTCATGGAAGTTGCTCGCTCCGGGTTATGGGCTCCTGCATATGGAAAATCTAATCAGGAAAGGAACGAGAAACGGGCTTTTCGTTGCATGGAGGTAACCGTCTTATGGAGGTGTCTGTCCGTCTGTCCGGAGAGAGTTAACGGCATTTCTAGTGTTTTCGACAAGGCTAGGCCATGTCGGATCGACAGTAATCGCAATTACATCAAATAGGTGTTAGACTATTATTATCATTGCACTTTTCAATAACCCCCATATTAAATAAAATAATTATCGTGATTGTTTTTAAAGGAATTTCAAAGGAAAGGTCGCAGCGATGATGTTGACAAATACATTTTGCCAGTGCAAATTCATGCAAGATTTATCCGTTTCCATCCTACAAATCGTCATAACCGGAGCTGCCTCAGGGTAGAAGTGTTTGGGACAAGAGGTATGTTATGATTTTTTTGTTGTTAATTTCAATTTGGCGAGTTTCTGCTTCTGCGAACTGCTAAGAGTTCAACTCTGTTATGGTTTATTAATTAAGGCTTGGTGTGTTTACTGGCAATTTTTGTGATACGTGGGAGCATATTTGAAGGATAAAGGTACGGTCAACTCTCTCGTAACAGAAATCACCATCAAACAGACACTTTTGCAGTTTCTTTTTCTCTGTCGTTCCTCAATTCCTTTAAAACTGTGACACTTAGTCCCAGTTTCGACGGTGTCCATATTGAACAGAAATGACAGAAAAGTTATACACCTCAGACTATCTTGGAACAATCACATTGATAAACAATCCCACCGAAAGCAAAGTTCCTAAAAATAATAACGAAGAACAAGAGCTCTCTCACCTAGCAATGTTAAATCCCTTTATGTAGTTCTAGTTAGATCACACTGTATTCAAGCCTAGACTCCGCTGGCAATCTATTTCAGAAATATCATACAAAATGAAATACTTCTACTCGATCTAACTTAAGGGCCTGTTTACATGGAGGTGGGGGACCCCAGGTAGATGAGGTAACCCGCCTGTCCATATAATCTCTCATTTTAATGTGATCACGTTTACATGATAGGAGGGGTGACCTGAGTCGGTAAGTGTGACGAGATTATAAACTCGCTTCGAGAGGAAAAAGATGGTGCTTAGTTTGATTATAGGGAGTTTAAGATACCACGACGGCGACGGCCACGAAAAAGTCTCTCAAAAAGTGAATTTGCGTTCTTTTAATCTCTATCGCGATACTTCAACTCATTTACTTTGTCAAATGCAAGCAAACTCTTTTTGAGCCGAATAAAACGTGAAATTAGGCATTTTCTCGTCATAGTCGTGCAGTGACGGCAAAGAAATGTACAAAAAAGCCTGCTGTACGTGCAGAATTGTTGTTTTGCCTATTCAAACTATTGCTTTTCTTACGTTCTCGTTGTCGTCGCCTTCGTGGCATCTTAAAGTCCCTTATATTATAGCCTTACCCCCTAAACGTATTCAAGATTGAGAAGCAGCCATTCCTGTATTAATTCTGTTGCACAGTGTCAACGCTTTATTGCTATCTTATTTTTCCCTTCAAGTTTTTTCCAGTAATAACTTTCAAAAATACCAAGATCTACCAACCAGTGGAGCTGTTGATGTTGAGCAGTTCACTATTAATGGCAGCCAGTTTCTTGCCTTCGCCAACTCTAGAAGTGATACCGATGGATTCAACACAGAATCATTCATCTATAAGATGAACTTTACTGAAAAATTCTCCCTCTACCAAACTATCAATACTATGGGAGTAACAGATATGGAATATTTTACAATTGCTGATACACATTACCTTGCTGTTGCCAATTTCGAATCTGGATTTACACCGAGACTGAAGCTAGTTATTTATCGGTGGAACGGACTATTTTTTGTTGTATTTCAAAACATTACGACGTATGGAAATGGAACAGCAGACTTGAATTTCTTCAAAATAGGGACTGAACCGTTTCTAACGATTGTAAATCTGAACTATGCCTATAATGATTATTGGATAGAATTAGAAATCTGTAAGTGGAGAAACAACTCGTTCGATCTGTCTGAGGTAACAGGAATGCGAGCATATGCGCTCTATGGAGATTCCACGGAATTTGTATTTAAGAATGAAACGTTTATTGTTATGGTCGCGGGTAATCATTTGTATTTGTTCAAGAGGTTAGGGGGAGGGTTCCGCCTATTATCACCTGTCAGACCTATACAATTGACGTATGGAGCACGAGATGTGAAGTCGTTTAAAATGAATGGTCAAATATTCTTTGCAATTGCAAACTTTGAAGATGGAACGAAACCCAACATTTTGAAGTGGGATGAAAATGGGTTTGTCCTATACCAGACACTTTTTACTACTGAAGCCATTGCCTGCCATCCATTTGTGATGTACAGTCAAAACTTCCTGGGTGTAGTCGATGCTCATGGAAAGTCATTTGTGTATCGGGCCATTGGATCACGGTTCTTCATGTTTCGAGAACTTTCAACTCCGGGGGCTCATGGTATGACGTCATTTGTGCACGGTGGTCACACCTACCTCGTTGTTGCAAATACTAAATCTGAAGAAAAGTTCAATATTAACAGCACAGTATACAAGTTTAATTAAATGTTACCTAAAAAAACATTAATTTTATACAGCACAGAATAAACTGTACGTGTAACATGGATATGTCAACGTTAGGTCTGTAGTAATTGATCACTAAATAAGAAAACTCCAATAAAATAACAAAGGAAAGCTGAAATTCAAGGCTTTTTTATAACGCATTTTAGTCAGTACCAGCCTTAACTGATACAAGATAAAACGTAAGATATCAATAAACAGAAGATAGCCTGCGAGTACAGCCGTCTCTCTTGCTCCTTGCCACTAGGGACGTTTCGCGGGGAGTTGAGAGACGTCTGCGATTCGGCGCTAAAAATTCATTGCGCAGATTTGTCCGGCTTCTGGTCAACGAGAGCTAATTGGTCGACGTAGTATTTCTATTCTTTCTGCTGTTGTTTTAGAATGAACGACCAAAGACGAAAGATCACATGAAAGATCAAATGAGAACGCCATGAACCTAGTAAAAGACAGTCGTATTCCTTTCTACAAGAAGCATTAGAGCTTCGCTACGGCTTGTTCGCAGAAGAACTCAAAACTTTACGATAATAGACTAGAAGAACAACAGAACAATATGACCAATATATTTCTTCACCAAAAAAAATTGAAAAGTTTTATACTGAATTTCCAGATATAGTCTTGTTGTTGTTGTTTTTTTTTTTTACGTCAAGTTCTCTTTAACGGGAAGCATGTGCTAGCTTTTATTTTGTGTAAGAGATCGTTTTGCACACCAATATAGCCGCCGTGACGTCATGTCAAAACGATCAATAGAACTGAGTGGAATCCAATTTGATCTGTAATCACACGAGGGATCAACAAACTTGCACGACCGCGTAGCGCGAGTTCGATTTGTTTATTTACGAGTATGATCGCAGACCGAACTGGACGACACGAAGTTTTTTTGTGATATTTAAAGCTCTTAATTTTTAAAATTAAAACACTAGATATTTCAAGAGTTTTTTCGCCAGAAGTGAAAAAAAAAAAAAGTGTGTGCGCACGATGGCGTGCACTTTCCAATTACTTAGGTGTGACGCCGAATGTTCAGTTAGACTGTCCCATTAACGCTGAAATCAGGGCAGCTGATAACCACTCAAGTTAGAAAAATTTTGTTATAGTTGTGATTTATTTTACCGTAGTTTTAGCGCAAAGAAATCTATAGTGACGATATAAATGATCAGAAGTAAAATCACGTGAGTAACTGCCTCGTATACCAAAAGACACTACGTTGGTAGTTTCGGCGCAAAGATCATAGGAAAGCTTCAAAAACAAAATGCAACAAGGGAGGGGTCAATGTGGAAAGCGAAGAGGGCTTCCCGTGTTTCGTCTTTCCCATAACCCCTTGTGCTACCACTTCCCGCGAAAATCCCAAGAACCGCCTGGGTACGAGGCAGCTTGAGTGATGCTTTCGCGTTTGGTCGCTCTTCCACCGGGGTGAAACGTTTAAGGTGACTCGACCCAGTTTTTATTGGGGAGTACCCTCCTACTTTGAGGCTCTCTGGTATCCGCACCTTTACTTTTATCGTAAGTCTAACACATAGAATGGATAACATATAGATCAATCTACAATATAACATAAAATTTTTGGCGATCGGAGTAAATGTCACGTGGTTATAATGCCACGCCCCTTTGAGGTCTGAGTCGAAAATCTGCTGTTGCCGGCATTTTTTCGTGAAAATCTCTCGGCTACACATAGTGCGCATTAGTGCCTTGCGCTGAACAGAGTTTCACCAAAATCGCAAAGACCCAATTCGAGAAATTCAGCGGTTTCCAAATTTAGGTCATAATTTATGCGAAAATGATAAGCAAACTTTACACGGATTATATCTAATAAACTATGAGATTCATCTCTTTATTTTGGGCATCGTTATAACAGATGGGTCCTTGCAAGTCAGCAAAACGCTTTAGGGCCTTGTAAATGCGCGCGATTTCGAGCAAAGCAAACATATAGAAATTATAGTTTTCGCTATTTGTTGACGTTTGTCAGCGTTTAAGAGTCCTTCTCACGAAAAAAGCATTTTCTTAAAAATTCGTAGTTTTTTTTCCTTCAAATTTTTTCAGGGCCACAATTGATTAACTAACTACCCGGACTCTGAATTTCATGGTCATTGAAAAACTGTGACATTATCTTCTATAAGCCCAAACTTGAGTAAACATTGAAGATTTTTAGCGTTTTGGCTGAGTTTGTGCTTTGGGAGTTGTCTATTGTTTCTAGTCTGTCATTATACAGCATTCTTGTTCAGCACGCGTGCAATGACCGCGCTTGGCTGACTTCCGAATGCTCACCGAGATATAATAATTTTGGTACAGTGAGACAGGCCATCGCGTGATACATAGAGGTTTAAGTCACAATTTTTAATCAATTCTCGTGCTTCTTGTGCCTTTGCAAAAAAATCAAGAAGTGCTACACACTAAATCTACTTACTATTAAAAAAATATCATTTTTTCATAGGTTTAATGCAAGCCAATAATTAAACCAACTCGTGACGGGAATATCTCGGTGAGCATTCGGAAGTCAGCCAAGCGTGGTCATTGCACGCGTGCTGAACAAGAATGCTGTATAATGACAGACTAGAAACAATAGACAACTCCCAAAGCACAAACTCAGCCAAAACGCTAAAAATCTTCAATGTTTACTCAAGTTTGGGCTTATAGAAGATAATGTCACAGTTTTTCAATGACCATGAAATTCAGAGTCCGGGTAGTTAGTTAATCAATTGTGGCCCTGAAAAAATTTGAAGGAAAAAAAACTACGAATTTTTAAGAAAATGCTTTTTTCGTGAGAAAGACTCTTAAACGCTGACAAACGTCAACAAATAGCGAAAACTATAATTTCTATATGTTTGCTTTGCTCGAAATCGCGCGCATTTACAAGGCCCTAAAGCGTTTTGCTGACTTGCAAGGACCCATCTGTTATAACGATGCCCAAAATAAAGAGATGAATCTCATAGTTTATTAGATATAATCCGTGTAAAGTTTGCTTATCATTTTCGCATAAATTATGACCTAAATTTGGAAACCGCTGAATTTCTCGAATTGGGTCTTTGCGATTTTGGTGAAACTCTGTTCAGCGCAAGGCACTAATGCGCGCTATGTGTAGCCGAGAGATTTTCACGAAAAAATGCCTGCAACAGCAGATTTTCGACTCAGACCTCAAAGGGGCGTGGCATTATAACCACGTGACATTTACTCCGATCGCCAAATATTTTATGTTATATTGAAGATTGATCTATATGTTATCCATTCTATGTGTTAGACTTACGATAAAAGTAAAGGTGCGGATACCAGAGAGCCTCAAAGTAGGAGGGTACCCCCCCAAAAAAACTGGGTCGAGTCACTTTAAAGTGTTTCTTGTTTTAATCAGTTGGACTAAGTGGAAACAGAGGCAAGGATGTATCGAATACTTTGTTATTGTAACTATCTTTTATTTTTTCCTCAAAATAACAAGCTTCTTATCGCTGAAAACGACTAAAACGCTTCGCACCTGAGCAACTTGTTTACTTCAATTTATACGAAAAAACACTTAAATAAAATAGCACTTTATGCCAAAAATATTAGGTACGGAGCAAACGCGCCGAGGAGGAAATTTCAATATCCAAACCTAAAAAAAATAATAAGATTTAAAGTGCTTATTCAAGCGAAAGCTATCGAATATTTCTTTTTTACAACGTTTGTATTTCGTACAATGTTAACTGTTTGTTCCTCCTTTTCGTCTTTCTTCTTCTTTTTTTTTTTTTTGTTGTGTTTAAAGCACGTCTGACTGTGACAGACCTAAGATTATTAAAACTATGTACATCGCCGCAAAAATATCAGAAATATTTCCATCATTGTTACTTTCTATTTTGGCCTGTCACTGGAGAGCTGCCGTGTGGTTCTTTTTAGTTTTTGTAAGTTATCGTGGACATTTTCACTTCGCGGATCCAGCTTCAGAGCCTTTCTGTAGTATTTACCGGCTTGCTCGTGTTTCCCCCATCTGTGATATAACACTCCTGTCAAGTAAAATTATATCTTGAAATTAATTTGAGACTGCATTAATGCACAGATACAAGTTACTTATTTATAAAAGCAACAGTAGATAACAACCGAACGGGACAACTAGCTATTTCATTAGCGTTAATAGCTATTACTGTATAAACCTTGTAAAGCATAATAAATTTTGCCCAGGAAAGAACACGCTCGCTATAAGCTTTTACTTCAATGGTTACACTGTATAATCGACCTTAAGCTGCGATCAGGTCTCCGTTTCTTTCGGGGAAGCGCAAAATTAGGCGGACAGGTAAAGAAGTAAAAGAAAAAAGGACCACCTTACCGCAGATTAAATCGACCTATACAGCATAATAAACAGTACAACAGGAAAATAATGCTCAGAAACTTCATTTGAATGGTCAGACTTTAGGATTTGACTCATAAGTTAGTATGATCTTGAACAATCTACTAAAAAGCACCACAGCAAAGAACTGCTCAGTAGCTTTTTATCTGTATGGTCACATTGCAGGATTTCATCCCCAGTTAGAACCACGTTTACGGCAAAATAACCAGAAAGAGTAACTACTCAAGGAGTTCTTACCAAGATTTCCATAAATTTCCGCAGAATTAGGTTTTAGCTTCAAAGCTATTAGGAAGTGTTTCTCAGCCTCCTACAAAAGAACAAATATTTATTCAACTTTACTTTAATTTCCCTCATTAAAGATTCGTACAGTATGCAAAGAAATGCAGGCTAACAGGACAAGCGAACTTGAAAACGCTTTGGGCCAGTCCATTCCCTAAGTAAGCAGAGTAAGCCGCGTTCCTAACTTTAGCCTGCGCCACAGACGAAACTTAAATCTAAACTGTTCACAGTCCCCTATTTTCCTGTAAGATTGTCGAGATCGAGCGCTTTGCGTTACGGGCTGCCACCTTGCATGAGTGTCAAAACTACGTAGGGGGCGGGGGCGGTTTGGGAGGAAGAGCTATAATCCCTGACGCCCGGAAGACGATTTCCCGCCTATTTTCTCTTCCCATCGTAACCAGGTCTTGTTTATTTTATTCTTGAAATAAGAGGGAACACAGAACCAGACCTAAAATCCCCTTTACCGGCGTCTTTGTCTGATTGTAGTGTAATTCTGTAACGAATCACGTACCACAAACTCATCTTTCTGTCCGAGCATGTTAGCAAGGTTGAAATGAACTGACGGCTCGTTAGGAATGTGGCTTTTAGCTTCTCTGATCACTGTTATCGCCGCATCTCTGTTACCTAGAAACGGAAACCTGCCAGGCGTTACCTTAAAATTAAACTCGTTTGTCAAGAGACGTTACTTCGCACAAGATGTTTTTAGTACACCTAGCTGTGAGCTACCAATTAAAATGCCAGGATTGTGTCAGTTGTCTAGGTAAGGTGGAGGCTTGCGAGAGTTTTGTTACTGGGGATCCGCCAGAAAAAGGACTGACTCATTTGAGGATCTAAGTAGGGGTAGGAGGAGAGTAATTAACTAAAAATGCCCTACTATGCAAAAAAAGTTTTTCAAGACTGTAGTTTGACCCTTGCAAGTTTTCCCACACCTTACAATAATTTCACTGTTTTCTTTAAGGGTTAAGAGGGTAATTAATCAGTCCAAAATTTACGTCAGTTGCTCGGAATAGTCATCATCTGAATAAAAAACCTGAGGCCGACGTTGCACTCATTTTATTACCCCTCCCACACCTCTCTCTCTCTCCACCAGTGCTACGTTCAGTTTTACGGGTATTTCAGTTCCTACTCGGAGAGGACAGAAGTCAAACAAGGATCGGAAGTCATAAATGGGAATCGAACTCAGGACCTCTAGCATAGAAGGCCTGACATTAACCAACATGAACTAAGCTGAATCCTTGCTCCTGTGCTCGAAAAACGTTTGCTTGAGTTCCTTTTTCACTTTCCTAAAAAGTGAGTTCTTTTCTCCCTTTATTTATACAAATCGAAAAAAATTTTCATGGTCGGCACTCAAGTGAAACCACAATCAGCAAGCGAATGGTTTCACTGCCAATTTTTGAACATTTTCTCGTCATTTCTATGATCGATAAGGGTATGGACCATGGAAATTTATGGTCGATTTGTCTTGTACAATAACATTAAGAGTCTTTGACGTCCACTCGTTAAATAATTCTCCACAAACTGGGCACAAGAGAAAGAGAAAAACAAATTGCGCCACCGTCACGTAATTTCCATCACGTCGGACCATTGGAAAAGTTATGGGGGGGGGGGTGAAGCATCATAAAAATATATTTGTGCAAGGGAAAATCTTATGAAAAAAATTCATGCAGGCCGAGTACCCCCAAAAAATATTCCCGCACTGGCCTAAAAAAATTCAAGCAAAGGGAAATGTTCACGAAAAAAAATTGATTTAGCTCGAAAATTTCCCATCCACTCTCCCCAACCCCATAATTATTCTAATGGTCCGTCCGTTATCGACGGTTATCGACCATAGCTCTCGACCAATCAGAACAAAAAATCGCTCAGTTACCGTAAAATCCTTCCTCCCCACCCGTTAAAAGGCCCCTTGCAGACATTTACCTGACTTTTCTAAGAGCAGAGCATTATTCATCCAGGCACCCACATGATCGTTTTTTAAATTGATGGCTGTTTTAAATGCGGCAATGGCTTTTACAGTTTTGTCTTGATCGATATACTGGAGGAGAAGATTTTAAGGTCAGTAATACGCATGAAAAAGCAATGAATGGGAAAATATCCAGGGTTCACGTAAAAGGATTATATCATTGTATCTGCACTGCCTGCAATGTGCATTTTGAACGATTAAAAACTATTGACCTTTTTTTCTTACCAGATTTCCAAGGTTGAAAAAAGCGTCTGGATATCTTGGTCTGTATTTTATAGCGTTGCTGTAGCATTTTTCGGCCTCCTAAGAAACAAATTTTGTAGGATCAGTGGAGTTCGAAGTTGTGTGGAAGAAACAATCGTGCAGAGAGAATCAAAGGTAAGAGATAAGAAAAACTGGCACAAGACGAGGCACAAGTTCGATTTGAGTATACCTTTAATTCTCTCTCTGCTAGCTTGGCTAACCACCACCCGTGCGCCTGGCCGCTCTCCGGTTGTTACACAGAAAAACAAAGCTTGCTGGAAGGTCAAATCGTGATGAATAATTTGTGGAAACATGAACAAAGCTATCAAACTCACATCTTCTTTATGCAATGCTGCCTTTACGGTGCCTAAGTTCATCCAACCCGTCGCAAAGTTATTCCTATACACAAGAATGGCTGCGTTAATAAGTTATCTCAGACTGGGGGGGGGGGGTACTCCCTTATATAAGCTATATAGGTATGTGCCATCTCAGCAAAAAAGCGAGACATTGGGACTTAAGACATCTTCCTGTTTTACACGATATTTACATTATTACGGAAATGTGATTTAAAATAAACGCCGCTCTCGAATAAACGCCGCCCTTGAATAGGCGCCGCATCGAAAAGGCTTAAACTTTAACAAACGCCCCGGCGTTTAATCGAATAAATACGGTATTAAATCAAATTCCACAAATGACACCAATCGTATCGTTGTTGGCCTCTCTATTAGCTTTTCAACAATGACCAGGCAAAGTTAAGGATTCTGGCGTTCTGGGGCAATGCATTTTGGCGATCCGAGAAGAAAGAACCATATGAGCCGAAACGAACAGGCCGCGCGGGAATAATGAGGCTACAGTTAAGCAAGGTTCTAGTAAGTACTCGCGCGAACACGATCTCGCACACCTTGTACAATGTACGGGTCTCAAATAGGGACTTTTGGATAACACTTCGAGTTTTCAAACCAAAATCGTGTGCATCATACAATTACTTATCACACCAATCTGAACCCGGCTAAAGTTTACTAATGTAGAGGTCAGCAACAGGGAAGAGTTACAGTCCGGGGGATATAATTACCTCAAAATTCCTAAGTCGTAATCATGCTTGATTTCTTACTCATAGTCAATTTGGGGGATAGGGGGTCCAAACCTGCCAACTCCTGTACCTTGCATTCCCGGCTCCCGCCCCTTTTCTCCCACCAGCTCTTTTTTCGATTACGAAAGATTGAGTATTGTTGCATAATTTCCCCATATTTTCCCCTCCCCGCCCTTTAAAACACCCACTTCCCACTCTTTCCTCTCCCGCCTCCCGCATCCCTTCTGTCCCCTAATTCTCCAGGCTTCCACCCCCTGTCCTCCCCCGTTAGTCAAATGTTAAGGTCACTAATGCGTTTAGAGCTTCAAATGACTTCAAATTAGAGAGAAAAACGCTTAGGTATAACATTGCAAAAAGACTAACCTTATTTCTACAGCTTTTTCTAACAGTGCTTCAGCTTCTATATATCTTCCATCATCCTTCAAAAAAACATGCTTTTTACACTAAAATTTTAAAATTAACTCATTTCAAGTCTACTAATAAATTAAAATTTCAGACAGCAATTTTACAAAACCAAAAAATATAATCAAGAAATAGCCTCCTTCTTCTAAATGCAACGCGAGTAAATCATGATTATTACGGAGCGATCTACAAAGTTCCAAAAGTTCTGAATTTTTTTCAGGCTTCTTACGCAATTGCATAAATTGCGTTCATAACTGCGAGGACCACTCTTAATTTGATTTCATTTCCGCAGTTCTTATATGATTTATTTCACATACAGCTACCACATTCATCTCTTGAACACATAATTGACCAGCTCCCAACATTAGTGGCTTCATAGCTCAGTTGGTTAGAGCATCGCACCAGTATCGCCAAGTCACGGGTTCAAATCCCGTTGAAGTCCTCAATTTTTTCAGGCTTCTTACGCAATTGCATAAATTGCGTTCATAACTGCGAGAATCATTCTTCATTTGATGAATGGAAAACTTTTCAAAAAAGGACAACCTTGCGAGTTGTACCCAGTTTTTTGGTTGAATCGATCGCCTTCGATCATTAGTAGCTTTTCGGGTTTTAGATGAGTTTCCTATCTGTTTATTCTCATTTCATTTTGGTCGAATAGAAAAAGCCGAAAATTCAAAAACCTAGAGAATGCATTCTTTTTGCAGGGTTTGTATCCCAAAAATTGATTTGCGATGCAAAAATCCGCCATGGGTTTTTTTTTTTTTGCGATAATTACAATGACAAATGTAAGCTTGGTGTGATCTTGCTTCTCGTCAGAGGATCATTTTTGAAAGGAATCTTTATTGAAATGTTCACTGCCACAAAAACTAAGTACGCATATTTTGGAGCATTCACATGTTTACTACCTCTCCGTTATTGAACGTCTCATGTGCGTCAAAAATAAAATACGTGTACGTAACATGCTGTACAAGGACGTCATACCTTGATAAGGTTTCCCAAATTGTTCAAAGCTTGTCCGTATGTTGGGTTTAACCTGCCATTTAAGGGAATTAAAATCAGTTGATATCGTTCTAGTCTTTTTTTTTTTTTTTCAGACATGCAAGGTTTAGAACAACAAAACTTTACTAGAAATACGCGAATCGCATATCCTCGCGAAGCAAGGGGGAAAAATTAAGGGAAAAAAGCCATTAGGGTAGAGAAAATATATGAAAAAAATATAAAGAAAACAAAACAAAAAGAAAGGAAAAGAAAAACGAGCTCTTCCAAGAATCAAACACAGTACATCCTGTGTATTGGCGCAATTCTATACGTGGAACTTCGGCAGGCAAGGGCCGTTCCCAAAACCTTTTCATGCTTGGATAAAACTGCCGGCTATTTTTTTATTGTTAAAACCACTCAAAGGAAACTTCATTCAGGTACAGGGAAGAACTATCATTTGACTCCACGTCAATATTCAAGAAATAAACCAGTACAATGCGAGTTTATCAGTTCCACACGGTACCTGATTGCTTCTCTATAAAACTTCTCAGCAATCACTGCATGTCCTTTTTCAGCTTTCAGCTTGCCAATGTTGTAGTGAACCTGTTGAAGGGACAATACTGATCATAAATATACTAAGGTCCAAAAGAGCTTCAGCGAAATTCTCTCGTACGCAACCAGGTCAAAATGCCAGGAATAGGTGGTTACAGGGAACAGGGGCTACAGTGTAGTTCACGCTATTTCCTATTCTTTTTTTTAAAAAAAGAAGCTAACAAATGTTTTTCGGATCAATTGAATTCCAAAATTAACTAGGTCCCGTTTTGTTGTTTAAGACTATATTAAGGCATCAAAGCTGTTTCCTGTTGTCTTTTTTCAAGTTTTAATGACATGCCCGCGAAAATCACCACAACAAATTACTACGGTTTGTGCCTCGTCATAATTTTAAGGAAGCATTTTTGTATGGGAAAGGGAACTGAGTATTTTTTTTTTTTTTGGGGGGGGGGGGCAGTTTATTGGGGCAAAACTGCAATCATGAAAGGATTAACAAGAAGATATATGATTAAAGAAATACAATAAAAATAATTAATTATAGTCACAAGAATAATTAAAAAAACAATTGCTGATCCCCAAAAGGGCAAGTGCAAACGAGACCCTAGACCCATGCAAGGCACCGCCCCGTTGATACTTACAATTACAATTGCAGTTACAATGCTGATGAATAGAGTGTTTTCACTCACGTGGCCAGCATCTATGCAAATTTATTGGAACAAAAGAAAGCGTTTGCATAAGAAAAGAGTTCAACTCCCACAGGACCCGTTTGGGACACCAACATGGCCGCCGTTTCATTGTTTTGGGACACCAATATGGCCGCCGTGACGTCATGTGAAAACACTCTATAGCTTATTTTACCCTTAAAAAAAAATAAATTCAAAGCCTAGATGTACGTTGACAAAAAAAGTGAATAAAAAAATACAAGAAAGTGGATGTGGTAGGCACAGTCACCTAGACCTCTGACTTAAGCACAGAATTGTCCTTCCGTCCTGACACAACAGGGTCCAACAATATCCACCTGACATAGCCCCTTTTTCTGGAGGTCACTTCCTAGAGTTTTTCACCTTGACTGGCAAGACTGATTACTAACAGTATTTTGGATAAATGGTCCCTTATGGGAGGTCTTGCTAGCTGCAATTATGACTGTGAGAACATCCCTTCAGCTATTTCATTTACCTTGGCATTGAGCGGACAAACAGTGAGTCCAGAAGTGAATAGAGTGTCTTCATCAACCCATTCTGCGGATCTCTGAAAAAAGGAAGAAGGCGATATAAAAACAGCCATAACTCCAAGAACGTTTTCAGGCGAACACCAGAGGGACAAATCAATGCGTCTGTATTATGGAGAAGCTCATATTTTTTAAGCTTACAGGGTTCTCTTTAAGTGCTGGCAACTGGCTAAAAACCGACTAGGTTTGAGCCATGTACTTTTTGGGAAAAGGCCGTAAAGCAAGGCCGAATGCAAGCCTGAAATTAACTACAGTACTTGATTGCTAAGCCGCCTACATTTACATCCTAGCTGTCTACTTTAAAACTTACTGAGAACCCTGAGTTCAGTATCTTTTGACAGGGGGTGCCTGTATCATAGTAGTATCAGAGGGGGAAAGGGTATGACCAAGACTTTAAGTCCATGAAATCTGGGGCAAGAACTGGCCCCCACGAAGATTTCTTTAGGAATTTGCCACAAGTCCCTTGCCTAACCTGGAAACATCTGCATAGGAAGCAAGTCAAAGCAAAGTACGTCATAACTTTTGGTACCGAATATAACATGGTGATAGGGTAAAAACATGGATGTAAGGGAGACTGCAATGCAATTACACCCTCACTCTTTGATTGTCTAACATCAGGCTTAATTCCAGGCACCCCTTTGATATGATTATCTGAGGCTCTACGAGCAGAAGGGTCATTTTTCTTACCTGTACTGTTCGAGCCATGTACAAAGCTATCAGTGCACCAACAGTAAATCCTAAAACCTACAGATGCAGGGCAGCAGAAAATATCAAATAATTAATTCTTGTCGGGGTGTTACACAGGGCGCAGAGGTGTTATTTGTCTCTTTATTATATCATACAGTGTAGCTGCTGTTATTCGTCCACAGTCATTACCTTCAGTGGTTTTCCGGAGAATAGGATAATATTTAACCAGGTTTGTAAGACGATCGCA